TTTAGACGTGTAATGGAACAATTGAGGGGACTTAAGCCGCTGTGGATAAAGAAATCAAGAAGATCAGGATTACGGTTGGGATCTGTGGGCCAGTAGGTAGGGGAGTTGGGGGAAAGGAGGTGAAAACGTTGGGAATTGAGTGCAGACAGCAGGGTTCGGTCACGAGAATTCGTGGTTCTGGAACCCCATTGTTGGTGCTTGGCATATAGGTCTGCACCCAAGATGAAGTGATGTCCTAAGGAGTCGAGGAGAGAACTGAATTGGGCATTGGATATGGATCGGTTAGGAGGGCAATACGCTGATGCAAGAGTGACCGGAAAGGAGAAGGTTTTTATCACGATAGCGGTGGACTGTAGGAAATCATGTATTGGTAATGGGAGTACGTGATGGGAGAGGGATTGGTGTACAATTACAGCAGTACCGGCATGTGCTTTACCGTCAGGGTGGTCAGTACGATATGTCAGGTATTGTGGTATATTGAAGTGCTGTTTAGTGGTTAGTCGAGTTTCAGTAATTAGTGCTACATCAATGTTCTTGTCCAGTAGTAAAGTAGATAGTTCGTCTGTATGATTTCTAACACCATTCGCATTCCAAAGGAGAATGGATATGGGTTTAGGGATGTGAGTCATTTAAGGATTTTTTAAAGGAGGGATGAGGTGAGATACGAGATTCGTGAGGAGTGATATGAGTGGAGTAACAAGGGATTTGAAATCGGTGAGGAAAGATGCTAACAAACTTGTGAGATCTGTTGCATTTGAAGGAGGAGAAATATGAGGAATTTGTTGTTGGTGGTTAGGTATATTAGGATGAAGAGGATTTTGAGGTTGGGTTTGAGGTTGTTGTTGTGGCAGGGCTTGACATTTATCGGTTAAAGTCTTACCTCTAAGTAGTTGGGAGAATGATACATCATTGTTTACAATTCTGGAAGGCTCTCTCTCTCTTCTTGTTCTTAGTGCTTCATCTTGAATCCGGTTTTTCTGGTGTCTGGTTTTGAGATTCTTGTAAATTTGGCAGCCTTTGTAGTTGGCCGGGTGTCCCTCCAAGCATAGGGCACATACTGCTGGATCTTGTATAGGTTTGGTGCACTCTACAGATTTGTGCTGTTCACCGCACTTCACGCAACGCGGCAGATGGTGGCAATATGTCTTCGTATGGCCGTAGGTCTGACAATTATGGCACTGCACGATGTCTCTCTTGGGATATGGCTTCTCAACTTTCACCATTGTGTAGTATATTCTTGTGATATCATATATTTTTTCGATACCTGGTGATGGCTCCAAGTCCACGAAAAACAATGGTAGTGGGATCCTATTTCGTAATCCTGGCTGCTCCCTGTCCTCCTTCAAAACGTTTGTTACCTGGCGTACATTGAAACCAAGCGTCGTTAGTTCTTCTTTAATAACTTCAGTGGGGGTTGAGGAATGTAAATTTCTTATCACTACTCGTAAAGCTCTTTCCTGCCTCAGCTGGTAAGTGTGAAAATTCGCATTTGTTTTTGATAAGTACTTCACTATTTTTCGGTAGGCTTCTGCAGAATCAGGTGTTGTTTTGGTGTCATTGGTCCTGTTAAGGCATGAATAACTGCCAGAGCAGATTTTATTTAGTTGGGTGCAGAACATCTGGAAATTTTTTATATTTTTCACAAATATCGGAGGAGGCTTTGGTTCTCTGGGTATTGCTGCAGACTCCATTACTTCTCTGTCATTTTGAAGCACTTGGTAGGGGTTTGGAGTAAAGAAAGGTGATTCTTCAATCGTTTCTTGTGCAGACGTACCTGGTTGGGGCTGAGGTTCTGGTTCTGAAGTGTTCATTTTGGTCACTGGAGGTATTTCTCGTAGGCAGCGACGAGTCCTTTGTTTGGCTGGTGAGCTAACTCCGTCTGACCGAGACCTCTTGGGCACCTTACTGGCCATCACTTGCTGATCATACCGCATACCATAAGAGAAAAATAAATAAATAAATAAATAAAAAAAAAAAAAATTTTTTTTTTTTTTCTTAAAATAACAAAAAAAAAGATGCCAACAGTAAATATCAACTGCTCTGATATACACTTTAACTGTATCACGTGAATAATCAGAGAGATTCCGCTATAAAATTGGTAAAAACTGAGAGAGGAGTTGAGGAGACAACCTTCTCATCAGCTGATCCACTGCCTTCCGGATGAAAAATTAAAGACAAAAAAAAAATTCTAATTTCTGCTATTAGTTTATTAGTCAATTCGGTATAATATGTTGTATCTGAAAGATATTTAGTCCTGTGCCATTTCGATCTTGCTCTGCGAAACTTATTTTTAAACTTGGAAAAATGTTTCTTCATTATTTCACTTTTCCTTAATTTTCAAAGTCTTTTGTCGGTTATATTTATTCATTTGTTATTTGTAATAGCAACGAGAGACTGTTAATTATTGCCAATGAACCATATAAGAAATATCTGATATTAAAACCACATTTAATCTAAATCACCTGCACTTTTTTCGTAATAATAGAAAACAAAAATTAAATATATACAGTGTTTTTTAATATCTCGTGCGTAAATATTGTTCTGTATTTTTTAAGGTACTTTTTCATATAATATATTTCACGCTCATCAAACATCAATAGCTTTGAGAGAATTATCCGTCGGTTGTTCATTCCGCTTGTTTTAACATTTAAGGTATTATTTTAAAATGTTGTGTTTAAACGGTAGATAACTTTCAATATTGATTCAAAGCAGTTACAATCATCCTCTAAATCAGTTATTAATCAAATCAATACGGTTAGGCAATATTTTTTTTTAGATTTTAATTTCGCTATTTTTATTAGTAAATACACACCAATATACATATATTCAACTTAATTTTTTTGACTTTAAATTTTTCTTAATGTAATTAAATATTAATATATTATATCGGTAGATTAATGAATACTCCGCAAAAACAAACGGGAGCCGCAGCTAGCTCATGAAGGCTAAATGTAGTGTTACCCAAATGCGAGACCAAGAATAGTCTTGGTCTTGTCCCCTCAGTATCTTTTATTACCTTAGTCTCGCGCAAAGTCTTGCAGTTACCTATTAGCTTATTACTATGGAGATATCACTGTAATTTTTTGGATAGGTGAAACCTAACTAACCCCGAATGAAAAATTAGAAGAGTTAAATGCAAAAGTATATTGGTTATACCGATTCTTTACATATAGTAACTAAAATCAAGTATTAGTAACTATTTTTCCTGATTTTTTTTTTTCGAAAAACCGATTTTTTACTTGTCTTGGTCTTGGTCTTGCAAAAGTTAAGCGGTCTTTGTCTTGCAAAGTGCAAGACCAATACCGATTTTAGACAACACTATCTATATATGGGCTATATTCTGCAGGTCCCCAATTGATAGGAGGAGCTGTGTTAAATGTATGTCAACTTACAAGAAGTTACAAGAATATAAATTTAATCTATTTTCCGTTATACATAAGTTGAAATTAATTGTATGAAAAATCTTAATTATGTGATAATATGGCCAAATTCCCAAAAAAATTGATGTTTACTAACGTGCCTTAACTTAGTTGGAATATCACTTACCCTGAATGAATTTTATAATTATTTAGCAATGCTTAAGATAATTTTCTCTATTTCTATTTATTTCTGATGTTTCATCAACTTGTTTCCTGGTACATTTTTAAGTTGAATGTATTAGAACAGTAATTTTTTTACCTTAGCCTGTGTGCAATCATAACGTTGTAATCACCCTTTGAAATAGTACTATTACTTAAAAATAAATTTTCTGATTTGTGAAATTGTATTGGTGGTTTATTCCGCACCGCTTCCCTCAACTCCTCTGGTAGCTCAGTTGGTAGAGCGGTGGACTGTAGTTGGTGATGAAAGTAGATATCCATAGGTCGCTGGTTCAAATCCGGCCCGGAGGAAATTTTTTTTTATTAATTCACTGAGTTATTTATTAATTTAGTCAGAATTTTTTATATATTTAGCTCGGTCAAATAAAAAATTTAGGTAAGAAAAATCAAAAGTAGATATAAATAAGTAATTTAATTTAAAACAATTTATTTTGATCCCTTATAAGCGAGTTTTATAAATTAATGTATGCTTAATGGAATGTTTCCTTTTTTAAATTTAAAAACGACTTCGCTAATCATTTTAGATTAAATGCTTATATTAATAAAACATTAACCATCCATACCATTTCTGTAACAATTTATGTATACATATATATATATATATATATATATAGAGTTGTGTGGCGTGCTTGTTTTCTACTCCTGAAGAACCCATATACACAAATTCGATTTTTTAAAAGATATTTGAGGCCTTGCTAATAATAAATGTGTTGATGTATTAAAAACAATAAAGATAGTGTTTTATTTCCTGTTGGCATTACGAATATTGTTGATCTTTCGCCATCTTATAAAGTCTAGTCCGTCTCTTTGCCTATCGTGGGCTATTCTTTATAGCTATCTGCATGTTGTTTGTTTGTGCTTTAAGGTGTAAAACCTGTTAATAGCTGTTTTCTGCATGTAGCTCTAGTGCATCATTGTTGATTCGATCTATCCATATATTGTTTTTGGCCTTCCATGTGGTCTTTTGTCTTCTATTCTAGATAGATTGTTCCATGCTACATATCACACCCATCTTAACCTCCGCTCTTTCAGATCATAAGATATTGATTGACCAGTTTCTGTAATTAGCTCTTTATTGGCCTTTCTTCTCCATGTGTTAGTACTATGATCCCATATCGCTCCGGTTATCGTGCGGGGGATTTTTCTTTGAATTTTGTAAACATTTTTTTTCTAGCGCACTGGTTAGTGTCCAGGTCTCTACGATAGTTAATCTCAAGATAATTTATCAAGTTAAATTCAATTTAATAAAAGTTCTTGTGCCTAACGTTTTAAATACCATTTAACAAAAACTATCTTTATCATGGTTTATTCTTTAGACCATGCATTTATACTTTTTATACATGTTTATACTTTTATATAAGACTATATATATATATATAATAAATCTAATTTTGTTTTCAGTTGTCGTTGTTTGTGCCGATCCTCCTGTTGTTCGAGAAATACTTCTTGTTGCTGAAGAACTTAACATGATCGACAGTGGAGAGTATGTCTTCTTCAACATAGAGCTCTTCAATAAGTGAGTACTAAACAATATCTTGTAGTTGAAAAAAAAAGGATGCTATTTGCATTTGGTGTCAATTTTCAAAAACTGTTTTTAATTCTATATTGTGATTTATTCCATTCGATAGAAAACGAGAATTGATTTCATTTAAGGTGACAAATGTTCCATTAGTTATTTATAAAGTTTTATTTTATTTTATACTTGATGAAGAAGTGAAGTAAACGACTAAACACCATAACATTCTCCGCTCTTATCTGTAAAAATATATATTTTTTTTTGTCCATATTTAGCACTAAATTTTTCATTCATCATATTTTAGTTCAATGTTAGATCTCTCGTTCTCAAGCTTAGGTCAAACAATTATTTGAGTGGGTAAATTAACATTGATTGAAACGACATGTCTTACTAACTATTTATAAGGTGAAATTAATGATCGTTGTAAAAGAATCCCTGCAAACGAACCTGTTGACCCAGAAGATCATGAGGCTATAGGAGTGTTAAGTATTTAACTTAATTCTTGAAACTGCTCCCGTTAGCACGTCGGCCTAATTAGGAGTTTGCTTGTTTAGTGCAAACTAAATGTGCCAAGTCAAACATGAACTTGTGCTTACCGCTTCGCTGCTTGCGATGTTGCTTTAAAAATAGTTAATAAGTAGTGAGTGCTTAATTCGAATTTCCGGAATTTCTTTAGTGTTTAAAGTTATGTTAGTCAATTTAATTTCCAAATGTATATTTTAAAAAAAACCAAAAGGTGTTTAGGGTTAAGGGGCCAAACCGCAAAAATGAGGACATCAAAAAAAGAAAAATATTTCCTGTGAAAGTATGTCCGCCAACGCTTTGTTAAGGAGATATTCACACCTAAAGATTGTTTTTGTATTGAATTAGTTACGTTATATAAAATAAATAAAACCTATTTATTTGTTCTATCTATTCTATTAATTAAATGTAAACATTAATATTAAATGTTGTCCACGACAATGGCTAAATGTTAATTATTCCGATCAATGGATTGGCCGTGCAGAACCAGTGGCTTGGCTTATACGCTCTCCAGACCTAAGACCAATGGATTTGCTTGTTTGAGGTTACATTAAACAAAAAGTCTATGCAAGTCCGGTCAATGACCTTAATTCCTTACAGAGAATGATAATTGAATGTAGTTAAACAATAACAGATATCCAGTGCCGTTCTGCCACTGCTGCTGTTGGAGAATGATGCCCAGCCTGTCTTAATGCTCAAGGAAATCAATTTGAACAACATTTCATATGAATGTAAGGTTTACATTTAATTAATAAAGTAGTTGGAACAAATAAATAAGTTTTATTTACTTAATATAAAATATATAATTTATAAACATGAAAATCTTTAGGTGTGAATATCTCCTATACATTTTTTCCTACCTTCCCTTTTAGGCTATACGGGATTTAGGCTACCCGGACCAGGGGGATGGGGAATCTCCTATACAAAGCGTTTGCTGACATACCCTTTAGGCATATTGTACTACCTTTATTTCCGGAAACTTATTTTTAAACTAGGAAAAATGTTTCTTCATTGTTTCTCTTTTCCTTAATTTTCAAAGTCTTTCGTCTTTTATATTTATTCATTTCTTATTTTTACTAACCACGAGAGACTGTTAATTATTTCAAATGAACCATATAAGACATACCTTATGTTAAAACCACTTTTAATCTAAGTCACCTGAACTTTTTTCATGAAAGTAGGAAACAAAAATTAAATATATGCAGTGTTTTTTAATATTCCGTGAGTAAATATTGTTCTTTTATTTTTCCAAGGTACTTTATCATATAATTTATTTCAAGCTCATCAAACATCAATAATGTTGAGACAATTACTGATTGGTTGTTCATTTCGTTTGTTTTAACATTTAAATTTTTATTTATTGTTTTGGGGTCCTTAATTCATATTTTCAGTTTGGCCACTTAACCTGAAACTCCATGTATACACAAGATATGGAGGGAAATATTTAAAAAGTTGATAGTAGACATTAAGATCTACCAAAAAAGTATGAATAAACAATTGTCTAATTTGCAGCAGTGAAGTAGAAAATTTTAGATGTATTTTTTTTAAACGAGTCACGTTTTTGTTGAACAGGAAGCGATAACTTAAAAAATATTTGATCAAAGTAATTAAGCATCGCTCCATTGTAAACTAGATAAAATTTACTTAATGTTCTAAGATTATGTTCAAACTAAAGAAACCTACTAGTTGCTTCAATTATTTTAATTTAAGCGTAAATATTAGGGCTAGAAACATGAAGTTTGTAACTTGTAAATACGCCATAAATTGCCATAATAAATACGTCATACTTCTTATGACAGGAATCTGGGAGAAACAGACAATTTCATAACCATCTTACATGAAAATTATTTGAAATAAATAATTTTTTTTTTATTACTGAAATGTTTATTTAGGCAATCATATTTATTACAATGCACTCCATATCACGGAAAAACAATAATTAAAAGCTTTTCAACTGTTAATTATAGTCATTATTGCTGAAAACATTAATGTACTTTTATGTAATTGAATAGAAAATCACATCATTTCTTTAAAAAACATGAGGTGAATCTCAACATTTGTCTTAAAAAACCTCAAGCCAACTAATATCAACTTAAAGCTTATTAAACGATGAAGTGTTTCCCAAAGTGGGGTAAATGTAGTTTTGTTAAGGGCTGGGAAAAAAAATCACGAATAATTGATGACTTTTTTTAACGGAAACAGCGACTTAGCTGTTTTGCCGCTCCTATCTAAATCCTAGAGTAGAGTAGAGTAGTATGTAATTGATTAATTATCAATTCCGACGATACGTTATCAATAACAAATATATATAATTCAGTAGAAGGGAACCAATCCAAATTACACATGTTTTGAGTAAACACAAGCCAAAGTTAAAATTTCTTTTAAATCTTGAAGTTTTCAAATGAGTATATTTGAGTCTTCATCTCTATTCTACTTTTATTCTTCACTTTATACTACCCGAAATATTACTATTATTCAATAGATACAACTAAAATTAACTTCATTGTTTTTGTTTTATTTAATTATGGATAAAATTTATTTCCTAAACCAACTGGTGTCGATGACCTTGGTGTTTTACGGCCTGCTAAACCCAAATAAACAATCAATATATTTCCAATATCTTTTTTCCGATATCGATTTTCTTTTAGTATTATTTAAAAGACAATATGACGTAGAATTAACATGTTAACATGAAACCGAAGACCGTAACCCAACGAATTCAACTACTTTAGTTTTTTTCCAAGCTTCAAAATTCGAACTAGATAAACAAGTAATTTTATGGTCATAAGTTCAAATATTTCTAGGCTAAATTCTTCTTATTTACATTCTATGAACAACCTGTGGATCCATTAAATGAGCTTTATACAAATATTTGATGCTGATAAATGTAGGGACGAAAAAAAGCAATTCCTTGTTTAGGAATCAGGACTCCAAAGTCAAAAAAAAAAAATGTACCATCTAGACGGTCTTACATTTCTTTCATCCTTTTGTTACCTAACTTTATTAACTAATATTTAAAAAATTCATTATTTGAAAAACAATATTTTATAATTTAAAATTTATACGTCAATAGTTATCATATCTTCTCTAAAATACATGCAAAGTTTCATTATTAATATCTTGTCAGTGAGATCTCTTCATAAAAATTATCTAAATTAATCCGAAATAGCGAAAAGGTCCTTATGTTATTTATGTTTTTATTAAATTAATTATTTAATAAATTTTATTAATTATTTTTGTTATTAATTAATCAGCGTTTGTAATACGTTTTGAAGTGGTTTGTTCGTGAAATAAAATAAGTTACAACGACAAACTGAAGTTTTTATAACTGGTAAATATAATTCATAAGCAGGTATTGTTATATGAAAATAAATGGAAAAAACAAATATTAAGCAGAGGTCTCTATCAATGAATTAAGCAAAACTTTATTGAGAATATCATATGTTAGTATAACTTTATAATTTCTGCAATTTAGGATACATTATTTAAAATTCGAATTTGATGAAAGCTGTTCGGTTTAACTCGAGCAAACGAAGGTAACTATCGCTAGTTGTTAATAAACGTTTTGTAACATTCAGGGCCGATTTGTTAGCCCAGAGATAATTTAGCTCTGGATTTAATCCCGCTCAATCTACAAATAACTAGACTACTGTGAGATCTGAAACCATGTTCTGCCGGTTTCATTTTAGAATGTTTGTGGACTAGTTGTATGTTGGTTTTATTCTCGAGTTCACTTCATTACAACACCTATTTATTCCGGCGGTAACGGTTACATCAGAGTATGTTTAATCTCAAAATGTAACTGACGCAATAATCGACGCTTAGAGTATTTTCTTCAATTTTATTTGTCTTATATTTTAGAAAATGAACCTGAAATATATTATCGACCAAGAAAAGAAGTGAATCCTAACAAAATATGAAGTTTTGCCGCAACTTCGCAAAAATTTTGCGTTTTACGAGATTTGAAGATTTATTTTACATTCGGTAAAAAAAAAAAAAAAAATCATTCCGCAATGATTCTTGGAACTTAATATTTTCTAAATTACGGTAGATAACAGGTTTCATACGCTCGTATCCTGTCCATGACAGGGAAAAATATTAAGGATCCTGAAATAATTACGCAAAAGCCAAAAAAATAAATACATGATTAAAATAAAAATCCAGATCTTTTATTATAATTTCGAAGCACTTCTTTCCTGTTTTTATTATTTCTTATTTTGGATAGAATGAACTATTATGTAATCATTTACAGCATTTTTAACTTTTAAAAGATTCAGCTCTTCCAAACTTATGATTCCACAATCGATTTTTTTGTATTTTCTATCGACCACTAATCATTTGGAAAGAAATGCAATCATGGAAGGTATAGTTTGACTTCATATTACATCTTATTTTTTCTCCTTACTCATTGACAAATATACAAAATATTTATAAATATATGTATATATTATACGTCTACAATATTTAATATTATAAATTATTTTATATCCCACATTTCTCAGCTCCACCAATCAGGAAATAGTGAGGTTATTTTATTCTTAAATAAATAAATGGAATAAAATATGGATTCCGCTAGGTCGGCAAAGTGAGAGAAGCTGAGTGGAGAAATCCATCTCAACCTTCTACAAGGATTTTCTTTTGTTTACATTATGCCAGATACTCCCAGCTGAACTTTCTTTATTGTTTTAGAAGTACTTTGTTCTTTTGCCATTTCATTTTTTTCATTTGCTTATTTTTATTTATATCAAAGTTTAGATATTTTTCGTAAAAATCAATTCTTTAAATTTTATCTGATTATTTGTTTAACTAATTATTTTTTCCCTTCCGTTATGTTATAAAATATTCATATAAATCTGAAGTAATCGAAACACGGAATACTGCGAGGAAATTATCAGTGACTACCATGCGGTTTAGGCGGAACCGTTCGACTAATATCTCGTTCGATCAAATATCTCCTTCAAGACAAATATTAGAGAAAAAAAAAGAATATAACGACGTTGTTTATCAACTATATGTCGATTCAAAAAAGGCTTACGATTCCATTGACCGCCAGAAGCTGTATAATATTCTATGACATAAAAACGAAAATTGGACGGAAGAAGAATGCAACAAATTTATATGAACAGATGAGTCAAAATACAGAGGTTAGAAAAAGTCAACACAACGGATTGGTCTCTTAGCTTGTTCTTAATTGTAAATGAAAAGCTTTAAAAATGCAAACACATCCACACATCTAATTTTGTACTTTTTGAGATATTCGCTGATGATATTCTGTTTACTTGCATCTATTCAAGAAAGTATGTTATATAGATAAATTCATTGGGTTTCAAGTAGAAGACTCTAGGCATGTACAGGCGTATGTGTATGTGTTTTTATTAGTTTAGTTTATTTTATTTTTGTTTTTACTTTATATTCATTTACTTTTATTATTATTGTTTTTCTGTATTATTTATTTTTATTTATTGTTGATAGAGCGTGAATGTGCTCTCTGAACATTATTATAAATGTCCTTATTTGTGACAGATTGTAATATCTCTCAATAAATATAGTTTTAAAAAAATCAAATTTTAAATCTATCGGTCCAGCAGTTTCGGAGAAATGCCGAGGATAAATATATTTTAATTGTATTTTATTATCCTACTTATCGTGAAATGTAAAATTAAAAATTTTGTTAATTAATATTAACAAGCTAATTAATCTTTAAAAATGTTATTAGATAGTTTACTTATTTATGCTTAAGTTTTTATTCAGGTTATCGATACTATATTTGTTTAATTAATTTAAAAAAGGAGAAGGGGAAGTTGTTTGTCGAAGGGAGTGATAAAATAAAGAAGGCCCTCGAGGCTAAGTGGGGGGGGCCGCTCCTGAGATGTTGGGGTAACCTAAGAGGGCCACTATCCTTTGCCTCAGTTTTTCTTTTTTAAATATTTTTGTGTTCTTCCTGCTCTGGTTTCCATCAGGAATCGATAGCTCTTTGATATTTTTTCTATTTAAAGAAAAATTTTTTTTTTATAAAATAGCTAATAGATGAGTTTAACTTGATTTTTTTCTCCCCCCTTCATACCTTCATCTGCATCTGTCATGAGAGTCACAATCAGCAGATTTGATGAGAATATAAATAGTAATATCATGACATGCACGAGGTAGGATAGTATCCAGTGGCACCTTTCTAGGCATTCGTTTTCTTCGGGAAATCAGGCAAAGAGATTTCTCATCCAGCTTCTTTTCACTCTTCTAATGGGCATGTAAATGGTGGTCATATCAGTTATGAATCTGTAGTTGTGTCCTTTTAGTTTACCTTGGAATGGTGAGTAAAGAGTGATCGGTAGGTGATAGGTTCTCGTAAGTCGTTATGTAAAGTTTTGTCGTTTACGTACCAGAGAGCTGCTGTTATCAGTCGTAAAATTTTGGACTGAAAATATAATAATTTTTGTGAGTCTTTTTTGATGGAAAGAATATCTGTGAGGCGTATGTCCAAATGGGTTTAAATAAGTATGTGTATGTATTTAGTTTTTGTCTGATTTACAATTTTTATTAGGAAAAATATATAATTTTCTGTTCGATTTTTAAGTCTTTCGTTTCATTTTGAGGTGTGGGATTTTCGGATAATGAAATATCATCAATTTACCTGTTACTAAAATGTTTCTATTATATGTAATTGCATTTAAATTATATTTACATGGTTCTCAGGAGTTTAAAGATTCCGGAGTGATGTATTGTAGATATCTCTGTAATAGTTTCTAATTTTTATTTTCTTTTAGAAATATCAATAATTTCATTTGAAAAAAAGTTTCCTAAAAATAATTTAATTGATTTCTATTTTAGATCAGGATTTAGAGTGTCCTTCATGCTGATATTGTTAATTTATTGAATTTCAATATACTTTTTAAATAAAATAAATTAAACTTAAATGTCATTTCGTCGTCGGTTCGTGTCTTCTTTGAAAGGAATCTTTGAATTAATTCAGAAATTGATAAAAAAAGACAAATCCATATGAAGGCCATAACACTCTCTGCTGTTATCCTGGTTATTAGTGCAATTTGTAGGAGTTGTGGGTAATTGGTATCAGATCGATCGATTTGGTTCAGATCTTGAAGAAAATATGTGCAAATAATCCAGCATAAGTTTTATCAAATTTTATTTACTATGTATGCCAGGATGAATTTTCTTTCAAACACTGTTATTTAATAAACGGAATAGAAATGTTTATTAAGCTACACCGAACCTCGTAGCAGACTTTTTAAAATAGTATATTGTAGCAGAGTGTATAACAACGCAAAGATCTAGGAAACATCTGAAAAAATGATAAGGTAAACATATTATTTATTATTTTCAAAACACATCTTGCATGAATTATAGAATATAATTTGTTTAGTTATTCGGAAAAGATACATAATTGTTAGGATTTTTTTGTCGCATAATTAAAAAAGAATTTTTACCCTCTAATCTGCAAATAATTTCTATCTCTGGACTCAACGCATATCGGTTATCAATGTTTTATACGTTTATAAATTAAATTAATTTTTTTTAAATTGTATGCTTTACATTTTGATAACGGTTCTTTGACCGAATAGGTTTATGTAGCTGCTGACACAAGCTGTAGTAGGCTTTTAAGAAAAATAACTTTTTTATAAATATTATTAAGATTTAAGATATGTAATATGAACTTTTAATAACTTTTTAAATTCGATATATTTTTTTTACGTTTTGTATACGTCCAATATTTATGAAGAGATGAATAGTTGGGGTGCTCAGTCAAAAAATGAAGGCAAAAATAAATTATAATATTAAAAAAGTATTAAAAGTATTAAAAAAGTAAAAAATATAAAAAATGTAAAAAATAAAAAATAAATATTATAATTTATTATAAATTATAATTTATTTTTGCCTTCCTTTTTTGACTGAGCACCCCAACTATTCATCTCTTCATTATCCACAACAGTCAACCAATTACCAATTATGTCCAATATTTATATTATTGGACTTCTAGAATGCGTTTTTAAAACTTTAAACATATATTATTATTATTATGATGCGGTCAAAATAACAAAAAGTAATAAAAGGAAAATTTTGTAATAATCAATTAGTTAGATGGATTACGTAGTTACGAGTTCCAAATTATATAGGCTTTTATCATTTTTTTTAATTACATTTCTCATTGCTTGGTATTTTCATTAATTTATTTTTTACTTGAATTCATTAAGAAGATGTTAATAGTTAAACATGGACAACATTTGTGGAAATAAAATATTTAAAAAAAACAGTATGTTTAAAAAAATGTATTTATTAAAAAATGTACATATATATATATATATATATATATTTTATTTCTTCATAAACCTTTCACAGAAAATCGACTGCTAGAGTCTTTCTCAACAATGTCGAATGGACGCAATAGGACATATTTTCGCGTTATCAGTTTTGCAAACCTATCTTTTTCTTTCTTGTACTGACATTCACTTTGGTATCATTTTGTATCATCTTTGATTAATAATTATCTAGTCTTGTTTAACCTTTGTCGCTCTCCTTCTACACAGCAAAATCAGAAAGAGAAAAGGTAAGACTGCAATGGACAATATGAAAAGTGCTATGTCGATTCCAAGGACCTCGTAGAGAGATAAATCGTTTCGGGCTGGTCTCAAGTGCTTCGCACCCTTATGCCGAATAACGTACTCAATCCAGTAGATGGCGCTATCAATAGGTGGAGTGGGTCTGTCGTGTAAGATATTAGAACGAGCCACGGCGTTCTCTTTATATCTATAACAATAAAAAAAAAATTAATTTTACGAATTTATTTAAATTATTGATATTAGGTGATTTAATTGGTTTTCTTAATTCAAGATTTTTAAAATACGCTCCTCACCTGGGTTCATTTATTATTTTAACGACAGAGTTCACTATACTTTCTTTAGTAAGCTCGTTTGGTAAAAGCGTGATACCGAACCCTGCCTGCTCTGCATATCTTGAGTTGAACTCCTGGTCGGCGAAGAAAGGAACGCATAGGACTGGAACTCCAGCAGATGGCGCTTCTGTGATTCCGTGGAGGCCAGCGTGTGTTATAAAAATTCTAATGTTTGGGTGAGCTGGTGAAAACAACGTTTAATTTATTAAAACTAATAAAAAATAAATAATTTATAAAATACCTTTCAATAAAAAGAAAATACCTAATATGCCGGGTTGCGGATACCATTTCCTTATTAAGACATTCTTAGGTTTGTTAGGCACGTTTTCCTGATCCCACTTCATGAGTACAGTGTGGTTGAGCTCACCCATTGCTGCTAGGACTGTCTCAAGCATTCCCTCTGGTAACTGTTTGCTGTTCAGTACCGATCCAAAATTTAAATAAACCACGCCTTCTTTTGCATTGTCCATTATGTTCTTGAATTCCTTAAAATAACAATTTTTAATAATCTTTTGTGATAATTATTTAAATTAACATTGTATTTATCATATATTATTTGAAGTTGAAAAATTACTTAGTTGCATTTATTCTTCGAGAACAATAAGTATGTATTTTATGTGCTTGTTTGTTTTAAGTGAAATATTTATAATAATATAAAATAAGGCTGTGTTTTATTATTTCTTCACCATATTTATTTCAGTCTACATTAGCTACTTTTCAGCTAGTAAGCCATTTTCAAGCCACTTTATTTAATCATGCTTATTGCATTTAGTCCATAAGTAGATTAATGATAAGTATTAATGTTTTACATTTTATATTAAAGTACAGTTAACTTTAATCTGATTATGGACTAAATGCAAAGAGCATTATTAAATAAAATAGCTTACTGGCAGAAAAGTAGTTGATGTAGACTGAAATAAATATGGTGAAGAAATAATAAAACACCGCCTTATTTTATAGTATGTATTTTAGTTACTATTATGCTTTACACTATTTATTAAAGATATGAAATGTGATGTTCAAGAAAGAACAGGGAAGCCTTAAGAATTTCGAAAAAAAGATGTATTGTGTTCAATGCTATGAACAAAGATGCATAAGTCAACCGGATAATTCAGTTATAAAACACCGAACTGTCATGACTTGCTCCTATGAAATATATTTATGTTGATAGCGTTGTAGCGGCTGAAATGAGTGTGAAAAGTTGGTATAGATAACGAATGAATGTATAATAATGTTATTGAATCGAAATGGAAACATGTTAAATGACAAATTCTTCAATTGAAGCCAAACTTAATGCAGCAGACAAAAGATCTCATATAAAAAAAAAATATATAACATATTGTCTATTTATTACTGAAAACTGTGAATATGGAGCCTCTAAGGGTGAATTAAACGAAAAAAAAGTAGCGAGAACAAATTTCAATCCCTCACGACCTGTTAAAGAAGTTGCAATTTATTCCTTTATTTTCAAAACTAGATACCAAGCTATAATTTAAAACCTGTTTGGTACGGTGCCAAGTAGTCCCAAGTTACGGTACTTATTTTAAATTTCATCAACTTTTTCGCTGCTTGAAAACTATTTATCATAACTTTTTTTAGATATACCTGTAGTTTTATTTATAACTGATTGCTTCAGGTATTTCTAAAACTACCGCTCGTCTAGTATCTTACTATTACAGTTGCTCACTTCTGGTAGTTTTTCCCCGATCTTCGCACTAAGTCCTCCAACTGGAATGACATTGGGTAGTAGAGGTTCTGGGTAACCAACAGAAAAATGGTAATCCATCAATGTTAATGATGTGTTTCTCAGCATATCCAGCAATGATGGACGGTTTTCATATCCTGGGTATCTTATGTATTTATCCATTAGAGCTTGCTGAAAAAAAAATTGAATTACAAATATGCTCTTAATTCAAGTATTAAAGAAATAAGCGCTTGCCATTTATAACTTGTTTCACACCTGATGAGGGATATAGTCGTAGTAATGGATACACAATTCAAGAACGTTTATGAAAAAATTATGAAGCCGCTGAAGGAAGCTCATTCGGTTTGTGTAGGGTGATCTCATGTTAGGCTGCAAATGTAACGAAACTTCGTTTCCGCTCAAAAACGAATACCATGGAGTAAGGGACATCGCCTGGAACGTTACTGCTGGAATTTTCTGCTTGTGACTGATGGCAATGAGGGGTTCCTGGCAGAAATGCGATTCCAGAAGTAATAAATCGTATTTTGTTGTATCATATTCCAAAAACTCCATAAACAGCTTTTCTTGGAAGACTTTTTCCATTAATGTTTTGCAAAAATCATTTAAGGCAAAATAGAAACTATACGGTCCGTCCATCATGGTTTTTATGCTATTAGCTGAAACAAGTTAATAAATATTAAGTTCTGATGACAGTAGTGAGATGATATATATAAAAAAAAAAATATATATGTTGCAATAAAAGAAAAATATTCGCATTCATTGCCTTATGTAAAATTTTTGTGGAATCACCGGAACAGTTAGAGAGGTGGAATAGAGGAGTAAATCAATTATGAATCCACTTCTCATGTAATGTTAAAAGTACACGATTTTACAGAGTAGCATGGACTAATTTTTGTTAGTTAAGCAGAGAATATGATATCCTATTATCAAGGAATTCAGTGAAAAATTCAACCGGACACTTTCTCAAATAAAGATCACTATTACGTATTTATTAAAGCCTCAAAATTTAAAATCCTGGGAGTACTCTCAAATTTGAACTAAAAGTTATCATTTTTCCGAATAATGATGAACCATCTTACTCAGAGTCAAAAGAGGAGGAGGGTGTCTAAACTTATGGTAAAGGTATACGTAATGGATTGGGCAAGGTGTAGTTTCAATGCTCGGTCTAGGAAAGATTGTTTAGTTCTGATCTTAAGATACGAGTTTTTCTGTGATAGTACTTCAGAAACAACTCTACGTTCTTTCCCTAACTTTCGCATTCTCGGAATTACTTATTCGAAGTAAGGTAATGTTTCAAAAAGTTCTGGATAAAGATACTTCTCAAAAACTTGAACCACTACATGGAGGGTCTGGAGGCATGTAACTTTGTAAGGAACTACTGATTCTTGATCAACGGTTGTGCAAGAAGGTGATTTGAAAGAAATCAAGCTCAGCTATTGGTATTCATCTTAATTAATAGTACCCAAATTAAAGAGCCTGGGTATACCTCAGGAGGGTCGATCCACATCTGCTGAGGAAGAATAAATAATTATGTCACAACCAGACCCGAATCCTAGATTTGGAGCATACACCCACAATGGGCTATTCACTAAAATTACTCGCTCTCTGACGAAGATACTTCTTCAGAAAAGAAAAAATAATTTAAACTTAATATTACAAAAGGTTTAATAGTTGAATTTTCTAGCACCTACAAATCCGAATGAATAAAAAATAGTCAAAGTTTGAAAGTTGATACTAGTTAGTAACTGAGTGTGAAAAACTATATATATATATATATTTAATTTCACACCTTTATCACTCATAAATTTAGGTTCAGATTTAAATTTGAATTAGCAGTTTAATGAAACGTATCAGTTCTATGGTCTCAAAGTAATGGTCCTAAAACCTAGGGATGCACAGAAGGGACCACCATTCAATTCTCGCATCATACAATTTTTTGAGGGAGGGCATTTTCAGAGTTATTCATTATTAAGAAGGCAAATATTTACGGTGTTATGATTTATCGGAGGAAACCATGTTCTTATGATGTTTCAATTGAAGATCATTTAAACCATAGAGCAAAGGAAAAACTAAACTACACTTATTACAATTTTACTTTAATTTGTGCTGTTTTTAAAATAAGGAAAGCAATAACATTTCCTAGGTATTCCATTTATTTATCCATTGGATCCATTGGCAATCCACAGATTATCCACAGTCAAGCGCAGCCAATGGACAGTTCTGCCAAAGCCATTTTATTTTCACACTTTTCAGAGGATTATTGAATAGAAAGCTTGGCTAGATACTAGTATAAAGCTAAGTGTGAATGGATTCATGATGGAGGTTATCTATTTCGGAAAAAAATCAGTAAACGCTTTGTAATTAGAAAAATTAGGGACACTTTTATTTAAAACATAGTTAGCACTGTCAAATATTTTATGAATAAGTAATTTACAATACGTTTAATAGGTAGTATTGGAAGTTAGAAAAAAAAAACTTCTTTTTACAGTTTCAGATATTTATGTTTATCAGCTTTCGGGGCTGTGCACCATATCCATCTAATTTTTTTTAAAAAATAGAATTTAATGTATAATATCCAATTTAATGTATAAATCTACTTTTATAATTTGTTGTATATTTATATATGCATATTGTATATTTATATAAGTATATTGTATATATTCTCTTTTAATGTTTATTAAACTTGTTTTTAGATAAATATGGTGCATAGTACCGAAAGCAGTTAAACATAAATATAATTATATTTAAAAATATATGAGACTGTAAAAAGAAGGATGTTTTTTCTTACTTTCAAATTTACAATATTCTAATTATATGATCTAGAATTGACTTGTGACTTACCTGTGTATGGTACATATCCCACTTCGACATCCCTCCAGTTCGGAGGAGGGTCTTTTAGAGGGTACGGGGATACAAAGGTAACGTTGTGGCCCCTAACGGCTAGTTCCTTGAAGATCGCTACGAAGGCGTAAGTGTGGCTGTACAACGGCATCGGGGCGAGGATTAGGATGTTGGCAGCTTCCAAGGGTACGACCCCGATGAACAGTAAAAGTATGGCCGGTAGCGCCACCATCTTAGATGCTAATAAAAACAGGCAAACATTCGTTTATTTCTTTCTCTAGCAAACCAATTTAGTATAAAGTGCTGGTGAAAAATGGAAAAATGGATATATACGGAAAAGTATTGCTGAAATATTTATCAATTGAAGCAGACTTAATTAAGTTTTTTTGTTTTGAATATTTTGGGGAAGGATCTAGTGCAAATGAAATAAGGATTCTTTCCGTAGGCCTATTAGTTAAAAAAATAATAAAAAAAGAAGTTTTGATATATTTATATTTTAAAATATCAGTAAAAAGGGTTATTAAATAAATATTTGTTAACGTAAGTTTTTATTATCGTTTTCTATTTTATTTTTTCTTAATTATTAAATTGAATTCAATTAATTCCGTCCAGTTGGCTAATTGCTCAGTAAATTGTTTGGTGTCTGAGTAGAAGTCTTTATGATAGAAAGACTTACCACATATTTGATTGTTCAGAAAATAATGCAGGATTTTGAGTTTTCTTTAAAATACTCCTCTATATAACAAACTGTTTACGTTTACTGGATTATTCAGTTGTATGAATTTCTACACTTATTAATCCTCTTAAATTTATTAGTACTTCTGTAACGTTCCAATAAACAAGTTAATATAAAAAATTCTAATAGATTACATGATGATTTTTTTGAAATAAACGGATGTTAGATACATAACTATTTAAATATAATATTAGATCTACAGTGATTAAACTACAGTAAACATATTTAAGGTTATAAACATGTCTATGAAATATTTGTATATTTCACTTCTTCTTTCACACAAGTACAATGAAATAAGATCTTTAAAAAGGCCCATTGCCTTGATTCCGTGGATTTTAAATGCTTTTTGTCAAACTTAAAAAAAATAAATAAAATTTTACATTTAGCAAGAAAATTTCATTTGATTCCCTTGAAAATATGTGATTTATATTAAGTTCAGATATTATTATTTATATATTTTTCGTAACCTGCTACAACTTTAGTAGATATTATTATTCTTTTCTAAAAGTCTCCGCTTTCCAATGATATATTATTCGTATACCTTCGGATTATTATTTCCGGAGGTTCAATTTGGATATTTTTCTTTCTTTCTCCTTTATTCAATTATAAAATTCTTCCAAAAGTTATATTTATCCATTTTTTATAGTTACTTAAGATAATAAGAGAGAATTATTTTTTTTTTTAAATGAACCAAATTAAAGGTACTTTAGAGATATGTTGAACATTGGGCATTTAAGCTCTGTAAAGTGACGTCAATGTGTAAAAACCTAAATGATATTAAAGACCACTTCATTATACAATGATACACCTAGTTTAATTAAAATCGTGGGAGCCGTTTTTGAGAAAATCGTAAAAATTTTGATATAAGGTGGAACTTCCGGTTAGTCGATTTTAACGAAAATGTTGCTGTCACATCCAAGGCATATACCTATCTTAAATACGTAATATCAATTTCTTACTTCTTTTCGTTTTTGAGATAGACTGTTCACACACGCACAAACATACACACACCATTTTGTAGGACTATGTTATTTGGACTCAGAGAATCTCAAAACGCGTATTTCGCTTGAAAACTCAGATTCGAAAATTTTCAATATCGCAATACTTTCCCTTACTATATATTACATATATACGTAAGTGAAAGTAAAAAATATATATCCAAGTATGGCTTTTATTCTTTTAGTTACATGTATGGGTAAGTGAAAATAAAAATTAAACCCAAATTAAAAATTGAATAAAATTTATCACAATACCTTCTTGTCGCTTTGTATTCGCCTTCTTCCCGACGTCTAGATCACTGCTAATGTTCCAAAGTATGTTCTTCCTTTTATAATAAACTTTTAGAGTACTTTCACGATATGCTGCAATATTGCAGATCTTAATTCTTTTAAAAAGTGCTTTAAGTACAACGCGGTCACTGAAGCGTCCGAAATAACTTTACTACATATTATATAATGCACCAATTCAAACTATAAGCGGAGTGGCCTGACGATAACAACTGAGACTACTTCAAGGCAATTCATTCAGAATCCTTAACGGTCTTGATATCAACAAGTGAGCTAATCAGGATGACCATGTGTTACTTGCGTGCTATAGATACCATCATGTTTATATCAAGGTCACTTGGTCGATCGTTTTTTTTCGATTACCCCTACCTTATCATTTCCGGTATATGGGAGAGGGGAAGGATGATATAGGAAGAGAAGCATACTTAATCAAACCAGAGTGGGGAGGTCCCGATTCATTCCATTGATCCGTCATGAAATAAATTTCATATGGGTAAATTTTGCAAAAAAACTTTTGACAAAAATATTTTATCTTTTTTGTTATAATTAATAAAAATGCTATTGCTAAGCTTTTTTATTCAGGATCAAAGTTTATACCTGGCCACTTTTGCTTTCTTGGCAATAATATGGTACTTGTATAGAAGAAAATCTTCTAAAGCTGCGAGACAGCTTAAGTGTTAAAGAACTTATATTTAGTTTAAAAAACTTGAGATATCAGTGCATCTAAGACTTGTTGTGGGGATTAAAAGAGGGGCCAGAATCAACCATTGGATGTTGCGTACTTCTGCTAAACACCCAGACTCCCTTGTGCTCCCTTGTACAGCAATTTGACTCTTGCGAGACTCATACCCAAGACCAAGACTAAGACTGAATAAGTGTCGTCTTGGTCTTGTATTTTGTCCACACTACAAACAAGGGTATAACAATAAGTTGGTCTTATTTTCGACCGATGGCCATTCATTGAGATGATTGTGGAGCCGATTTATTTGAATGATGGATTTTAATTTGGTGTTTGACTTTGCCAGCTCGCGGGAACGATTTCTCTTCTACGTAGATCCTTCAAAACTTTCCGCTAATTATCATATACTTTGTTTTGTCTTCATTTACTTATAGGCCGATTTGCTCTACTTCTCTTTTCAAAGTCTTAGCGAGTTTTGAAAGTCTCGGTCCTTTTTATTGAGAGTTTGCTGGAAATGGTATTTGCATTGCTCAATATCTTTTCTTTAGATGCCGTCAGAATGCCATCTTTCCCTCTCATTTTTGCATTTTTCGCTTTATTTCTTTCCATTTCTTTCATAATATCTGCGTAGAATTATCCTATATCTCCAGCCTGCTAGTTGTCCTCAAAGTTTTCCAATCTTTCTTTGAGGAAATCCCTTTTTGCTGGTCTTATAATTTGGTTTTACTTTTTCTTGGCGGATTTTTTTTTCTCCCCTTCCTCGCCATTAAGGCCATACGGGGTTTTCCAGGGCCAAGGTTTGAGGGCTGGGATTTAAAAGTCTCCCCCGGTACCGGGACGGGAACTCGTGACAATTTTTATCAGGTTGCCGGGCAACAGCGGTGCTGTGCACACAGGTTAATTCATTCGACCACCCCGCCCCCTTTTTCTTGGCGGCTGTGTAGTTGTCAAGAGTAGCTTGATCAGTTGAGGCTAGGCAGAGGAATTTCCTTTTCCTTTTTTCCTCTACGACCTTTTTGCATGCATCTATGAACCACATCTTTGTTTTTCGTTTCTCCTGAATACCTATCACTTCCTTAGCTGTTTTTTTTTATGTTACCTACCAGTGTTGGTCCAGTGTGAAGTTCTCCGAGTCCCACGGTTCGAATTCGTTCTTTAGCTCTAGTTGGGATTTGGTTTTTACTTCAGAGTTTTTCAAATTATGGACTTTGTATCTCCTAGTTTCCACATAATCTCCATTTTTATGATATCGTCTCAATCTCTGGCTAAGTTTAATTCTAATCAGAAAGTGATCCAAATCACAGTCTACTCCAAAATAGACTCTTGTATCTTGTATTTAACTCTGAAGTCTCTTCTTCAGACTTCTAAACCTTAAGCTGTTACCAGTCTTACTCCGTTGTCATTGGTTTAATATTTTCGTGGAGGCTTTGGCTATGAACTATATACTATCTTATATATTATATTGTATACAAAATATGCAGCATTGCTCCAATGCAAGAGTCTTGCCGTTACATTTTAGCTTATTGCTATTTATTAAACATGTTACTTTAGATCTTAGGAAAACGCTACAGGACAGTTGCAGTGGAAATGTACATTTAGATGTATTATGGACAAAAAACATAGTCCAACCAAATTAATAAAATTAATTTGAAATTATATTAAAGGCATTTTCATGAAATATAATGATAAGCCCTCACCTTGGAATGGAAAGAATTGTAGTGTAAAGTACAATGCCACCAATCATTTAAGTAAAAAAATCTGGTGTTTCCTGACATGACTTCCCCGCGTATTTTAAACAATTTTGTTTTCAGTTTTTAATATGCTCATTAAAAGTGACACAATTGAATTAAACTAATTTTCCTGATTACCGATCAGATAAATCATAACCGATAATTGTAAAATTTCTTTGCTGACGGTGATTGGTCGTCTTGGCCTTGCACTTTGCAAGTCCAAAACCTATTGTAGGCGTACCTAGTATAAAACTTTAATATATCGCCAATTTAATGAATTGCCATTTTTTTACCTTAAGTATATTTTAAGTTTTCTCTGTGTAATGTAGTTGTGCTTTTTCAGTCATCCTCTAATGGGCTAAGTACTGGCCATGCCAGTTGATTAAGTACTATGACTTTAGGATGGTTTAGGGAATAATAACAAATTTAAAAAAAAAAAACTTGTTTATTTCCATGCTTCAGATATAAAAACACTATCTCACAAAACAACTATGTTAACAGTCGTCTTAATTATTTTCCGTTTGAATTCCCAAAACGTGTCAGTCCTTTTTCGTTTTAGGTATCTTTACTCTCCTCAGCAATGACAGCAAAATTATGGGAAGAAGAGCGATGGTTAATAAAAACAAAAATATGTCTAGTCCAAGAACTTGGTAGAGTGATAACTCAATCCTTGCTGGTTTTAGGTGATTTGCTCCATTATGCCTTATAACGTATTCAATCCAATATATAGCGCTCTCCATGGCCGTATTTTGCCTATCTTGGACGACTTTAGAACGTATCAGAGCATTCTCTTTGTAACTGAAAAATAAGTAATAAAATTTTTTTATTTGAGAAATTAAAAAAAAAGTAAAGAAATTTCATTTTTTGATTCGTGGAATAATTATCTTCGAGTCAAAAAATGACTCCAATTATAATCGGACATTTCTTTGGGAATGAATGAGTACAATCCAGAGAATAAAATTATAAATATCTATACAAGTCACCTGGGATCTTGTATGATTGTAAGAACCGAGTTGATAATTCTGTCGTTTGTTAGCTCATCCAAGAAAATTGTGATCCCTAACCCTGCTTGTTCAGCGAATCTGGAGTCGTATTTCTGATCAGCAAATACGGGAATGCACAAAACCGGGACTCCTCGGTACACTGCTTCCGTCAGACTGTGCAGTCCTGCGTGTGTTATGAATATTCGAAGTTTGGGATGAGCTGTAAAATTGAAATCTTTCATTAATAATTGCAACTCTAAAAGCGTAATTGATGAATGAACTACACTTTACCTAATATAGCAGGTTGCGGGTACCATTTTCGTAAGATGACGTTTTTAGGTTTATTTGGAACGTCTTCAACGTCCCACCTCATGAGGACTGGGTAGTCGATTTTGCCCATAGCTGCTAGGACGGTTTCGAATACTCCTTCTGGCATGTTTCTACTATTCAATACAGACCCGAAGTTTAAGTATATAACACCATCCTTGGAGTTTTCGAATACATTATTCAAGTCCTGTTATTAACAATTCAAGGATTGTTAATTTATAATGTAATGATAATGTAATATGAGTAAAAAAACTCAACAAGATAAAGAAAATTAGTTACTATATTGCAACAGGAAAAATCAGATCATACATTTTTAATCTCTAAAATGCATATACTATAGGTGGGGAATCACGGTATCGGAGGCCGCAGGTGACTGAAACGCAGGTGACGTCTAAAACGTAGTTGCGGCCTCCAAATATTTTTTATTAATCTAATGTTGGAATTAATTAATAAATATTTTAATAATATGATTTTTCAAGTTTCTGAATACTTTTAAATCATATAACCGAAGGCAGCAAATATTTATTTTTTTTTTACAAAGAAGCGTATGCAATAAAGCCTTTAATGCGAATAGATGCAAGGGTGCCCAATCTCGCTAAGGTCAATGGCGCAAGAACCATCTCCCCCCCTTCAGCCTCCTCCCAAGATATTTTATTACTCATCTTTCTTAAAAACAGATCAATCTAAGGTGGAATTAGAAAAATCGTAGATCATATACAAATACCCTTACTTCGGTGAGTTCCATATGTTACCCTTATCCATTAGTCCGAAAATTCATAACCCCGTTGAAATTTGCCCTCCTCAAAAATTTTAATACCCGTCAAAATATTTCACCCTAGAAAATTTTGATGGCAAAACTTGTACCATGAAACTCCCTTCTGGGCAATCCCGGAATAGATGTATTAAGAATGATTTAAAATCATCCAGGAAATCGCTATGACACAACCAGGCAACACAGGATGTATAGTAATGCTCGTTCGCTCAGGACTGCGATAGTTAACGTTTATTTCATATCTATACTACAGATTGAATTTCGAACTTTACATTATAATCTGTTCACACATAATATTTTTTTTTCTCTCTTTCGCGCATCTACTCTTAAGGGTCATTGGCTTGGGGGGTTAAAATAAATTATATTATGTGTATAATATAGTATATATTATAATTAATATAATAATTTAATTTATACTATGTATATATAATATATGTTCAAGAATACCCTTGTTTGGTCCATGTATGTAAATTTAATGTATGTTTGAATTGACTGAAATTAAACTGGACGAAGAGTAAAATAAAAAAAAGAAATATTTCTGAAATAACTTACCTTGGGAAGTTCATCGCCGATTTTCAAGCTGAGTCCTCCAACTGGAATGGTGTTTGGAAGCAAAGGTTCTGAATATCCGACAGACATGTGGTAGTCAGCTAATATCAACGAAACATTCCTCAACATATTCAATATCGGAGGGCGGTTTTCAGAGCCAGGATACTTAAAGAATTTGTCCATCAGGTATTGCTACAGATCATGGTTGATCATTGGTTAATGCCCAATATTATTTTATTACTTAATGTTTAAAAAAACAAACATAATTCACAATATTTAACTTATGTTACCTGGTGTGGTATATAGTGAAAGTAACCTACGCCCATTTCGAATAGGTTGATGAAAAAGTTATCTAGTCTTTCGAAAAAGGTCATACGATTCTTGTACTGTGAACGCAAATTTGGCTGTAAGTGGAGTGATACTTCGTTACCGGTGAGGAAGGAATACCAAGGGGTGAGGGACATTGCATGAACAGCAATAACTGGAACATTAAATTTGTGGCCTAAGGTGATGAAGGGCTCTTGGCAGAAATATGGTTCCATGATCAATAAATCGTATTTAGTATTATCGTTGTCCAGAAAGTTATGAAGGTCTTCATCATCAAGTGCTATATCTAGAACATAGTTGCACAAGCTGTACAAGGCTGAATAAAATCTGTATGCATTGGTGTTGATCATCTCTTTAATGGATCTCTCTGGAACATAAAAGCTATTGTAGAAAATATGTATGTTGAAAATTTATTGTACACATCATCTATCTTTCAATGTAAATTTCTTAATATTGTTTTGTCTAATCTTCCTTACCACTCTGACGAGATCCATTAAGTGCAATATTTCTCCAGTTGGGAACATCTAGTTTTTGAGGGAAGGGAGACACCATTGTGATGTTGTGCCCCCTGGCAGCCAGTTCCTTGTACACGGGGATAAATGTGTTGGTGTGGCTGTAGAACGGCATTGGCGCCACAATGAGGATATTTGCTGCTTTCAGAACCGCGGGAAGAACTGACAGAATAAGCAATATCGCCTTCATCTTTGTTAGATTCTTCTAATGAAAAATAACTGAAACAAAAATTAATAAAAATCGTTATTCATTATTTTTGTGGAGCTAGATATTAACCTATTGTTTCTGAAGCAATGTCTTCCGTTTTTAAAATAAACATTTGTTATGCACCCCAACGTGAATAAATGAAAATAAGAAAATGCATCCAGATGACGTTCATAATATTAATATAATGTTTAAATTATGGTATATCTAATGTTTTCAAAAAATTTGAAACCTATTTTATTTCGGTCCTTTATATTCGTTAACATATGACTTAGAAAAACAAGTCTTGGGTTCAATACTTTGAAATGTAATACTTGTAATACGCAAGGTCAACGGTTGTAGATGGAGGTGATTGGTCCGAGGTCACGCTCAACTACCAGGTTTTTCACTTTAATTAGTTATTTAATAAAGGAAACCCTTCTTATAGAGGCGGTCCAGGAGGGTCTTCCGACGCCATGGTCGATCCAAAGCTGATATAACAGAATTAATAATTTCATACTATCAGCTGGATTCGAATATAGGACCTTGGATCAAGAAAGTCAGTGCCTACCTACTGAGTTACAACGGTCCTGCTCTTTATTCCCTTCCCCCTTAAAACTTAAGGATCCTGAGTTTTTAAAGATTTAAGTGATCCAACCAGAAGAAACTCGTTTTTACAAACTACCCAAAACCAAAGATTATTATAGTTCTGTTTTCAAAAACAAATCACAAAAAACATTTTCTGAGATACAATTTCCTTTAGTAGTACAGGCTTTAAATGAAATTCAATCTTATGCCTCTAACCTACTATCTCACGTTTTTCTTTTGTTTATATGAGTTTTCACTATGTACGAATAATAACCCAAATGTTCACTAAAGCTCTTAAAACACAAAGACGAATTAGATATATAGAGGAATAATATCATAAAGATAATCGCAACGAATGAATGTTAGTATAGACCTAATAACATAAACGATAAAAAAAAAAAAAAAATAAAATAAAAATACGACGTTTTCTACTCAGAACCAATCTATCGCAGAAAAAAAAAATAACGTTCTAAGAAAAAAATAACACGAAATTCTTTTAAAAACACATTTATTGAGACAAAACAGTCACACCTATGTATTTGATTGATCTAAGTCGTTAGCCAGATGTAATCTTTAATTATACCACTCCTTTCTTAAGTCACAAGTAACAGTCGAAAGCTAAATAGATTCACCTTCTAAAACCACAAACCACCATCAACACAAATAATTTCCATTTTAAAAATTAATTGACTGTAGAAGTTGACACCGGCATTGTATGGGTATTCCGAAGTTTTAAAGTAACAATTTACTTACTTTGAGAAGTATTGTGGTAGTTTCCATGTAACGAGCTGCTGTGTTCTCGTTCGTACTCACTGATATGGAGGTATAACTACAGGTTCCACATGTGATTTACATTATTTCCACTCACGACAAAGTTCAATAAGACTAAATGTATTAAAAACAATTTATTCTGATGTGAAGCAACTATAAAATAAATAAATTGTGTAATAGGAGGGATATAACTCATGGACGTCGAGACCGTGGTATCACTATTAAAATAATTTTTAGATAAGAAAATAATCTTGACAGTATACTACTATACGATAAGATGTACTTCTTATCTCTTATAATTTTTGTTATTCATAGAATTCAGGGTCGGGAAACACTTCACGGGTTGTGTAGACGTCTTTATGATATCTTTAAGTGTTTTAATTTGTATTTGTTTAAATTTTAATTAAACTATTTCATAATAATATTTTTGTGAGATAATCGTATTATTTTTAATTTTTTTCGTCCTAATCTTTCAGGACATACGGGGTTTTTCAGGGCCTGGGAAGAGCCGTAGGATTGATACCAGAGTTAATAGTCTTTAGTTCTACACTAGTACTTTTTCTTCATTATAACTATTCAATTATACAGGATCTTTCAGTGTTAAGTGGCCAAACTGCAAAAATGAACTAAGAACCTTAGTTAAAAAAAGAAAAAAAATTTCCTCTGAATGTATGTCCGCATACATTACACTTAGTTTAGGAGATATTCACACCTGAAGGTTTTCCTTATTTTGAATTATTTACGTTACATGAAATAAATAAATAAAACCTATTTATTTGTTGTAACTGCTTTATTAATTAATCCAAGTCAATGACCTTAATTCATTACGAAGAAGGATAATTTAATCTTGTGAAACAATAACACATATCCACTGCCGTTCTGCCACTGCTGCTGTCGAAAAAGATGCTGAGCCTGTCTTAATCCTCTAGTAAATCAGCTTGACCAACATTTAATATGAATTTAATGTTTACGTTTAATTAATAAAGTAGTTGGAACAAATAAATAAGTTTTATTGACTAAATATAACGTAAATAATTCATAAGAATGAAAATATTTAGGTGTGAATATCTCCTTAAAAGAGCGTTTGCGGACATACATACGTCCTTATCTGAGATCCTATAAAGCAACCAATTACAACTTATACTATTGATTGCTAGGATCACCCTATTTCTCAAGCAATCCAAGTGAGGAGTAACTCAGAATTTTTTACCGACCCTTACTCTAAGCTAGGTTACTTCTTCATTCGACCCTTCAGAAGTATTAAACCCTTATACATTTAAGATATTACAATAAAGCTATTAAAATGTCTGTTCTGGTCAAAATGGCGTCTGTCGGCATTAAGGGGCCGCCCAGAAATTCTGGTCCAAGAAACTTAAAACTATCTATGTAAATTATTTTGATTTCTTAGATAATTTAAATTTGAAACGTTCATTAATTTTTTTTTTAGTTTACCTTTTTTATGTATGCGTTATTATCATTTTTTTTAATAGTTTGTTTAAAGTTTCCTCAACCTAAGAAAATAAAGCAATAACAAAGGAGTGAAATAAGGTTCCGTGGATCAGATATCCAGCTGGCTTTGTAATTGATGGCTGTTATCAGGTGACAGGTAGTAAGTAGTTAGCGGACAGATTGAGCGATGGCTTCCTACCGGTTATAGCCCCGGTTACTCATCAATCCATGTTCTTTCTGACCTTTTTGCACTGACCTATGCTTATTGGGAACTATACTTACAGTGTTATCGAGGAGTTGTATCTTGTATAGTACATGGACATTTTTAACGTATATACACTAAAAGGTTAATTTACAATGACGTACATAAATCAGATTCTATTTAGAAAAAAAATCCTGTAGCTGGTCTGCGTGTACGTAGATGGCAGCCAGAGAGCGAACTCACGCTGCTCAATGTTGATACTCATATTTTTTTCCCCACTTAACTTTCCGATACTACTTACAAGTATAATAATAATTATGATAAGCCTTCGCGAACCCGAATATTCGATTCCGATAGCACCAGTCGATGTCTACTTTCTTCCATTATATAACGGCTTAAAAGCTCCGGTTGATTCATACTTCTCCGATCCGAATATTCCGCGCAATACTTTTTTTTCAAAAACCTTAAGACGTTGCTCATCTCATAATGAATGGGACTACGTTTTGCATCCCTAAAGAACCATAGGATAATGGTTTACTTACAAATATAATATATAAATATTGAAAGAAGATATCGTAAACTTCCAATTTACTGTATGTATCATCATATGTATCATCATCGCCAAGGCTCCACAACCCGGTATCGAGTAATGGCCTCCTCATGCAACTTCCAATTATTCCTGTCCCGTGCGGGTCCCATCCTGTTCCTTATTCCAGGAATACTTCTTGCATCTTTAGTCATATCATCAAACCTGGGTGATCTAGGCCTTCTTTTCCCATACAGTGGTTGCTTAAGGAGCTTCTTTGGTATTTCCTCCATTTCAATCCTTGACATCTGTCCTGCTCATCTTAGACTGGTCAATATGATGATCTATACGACGTTTGGTTCGGACAACATAGTATATAAGTCTCAGATGGAGCTTCCTATCCTTTTTCCAGCAGCTTGAACGTCATATTTTCTTTGAAGAAACTTTCAAATATCAAAATAGAAGTTCTCGCTCTTCGTCTTAAGTGAGTGTCCACAACCATATAAGATAACTGGCCATATGAAGATTTCGTAGATCAAGGTTTGTTCAGACAAGTGAGGACTACAGAACACCTTGTATAAGCTGAAATAGCAGCGGTTGGAATTTACAAATTTTCTTTTTTTAATTTGAAGTGCGACATTATTTATCACTTGTCATCAATAACCCTAAATAAGTGAGCACTGTTACTTTCTCGAAATGTTACGCGTTTATGTTCACAATGTCTCCAGTGTCTTCTACGTAATATTACTATACATATACATAAATATTAAATGTTTAGTAACATCGAATAGTCTGGGAAGAAAGAGTTGAATATTAAAATACAACTAAAAATATTGTAAAAGTAAGTATTTAATGCAACATAGATTGTGTTATGTTGGGATCCTTCCGTTACATGGAGATGAATTAGCAAAGCCAACACATATATCAATGGCGTGATATAAAACTTCTAACCTGGTTTATTTTTTAATTGCGGTCGGATTAAATTTCCGAAACATGGTTTTCAACGGATCTTTACGTTTTGGAGCCTCTTGATCAAATGAACCACCAATGATCAAATGATCCACAAAGCCCTAAGAGGTTTCCTTTCAAATTAAAATATTTATATATTACTTATGAAAATATAAATTAAGACAATATCAGCAAAAACGTTATTGTATGATCACTATTATCTATTAAAAAAAATAATAATTATCAATCAAATTCGCAGCTAATGGTTAATACATCAGATTTTCTCGATGCGCAGCATACAAATTTCGTAAAGTGTTAAAATAAATAAAACCGTTATCGATTAAAAGGAAAAATTATTTTAAGCATGCTAATATTTCGGCCCACTGTTTATGCCTTGGTCAACACACAATATAGCAAGATTTAAAATCTTATAATTAAGTATATATATATATATATATAAAGCAAGAAGGTAACACAAAATATCTATGTTTCTTGTTTATTTATCTCATTCCCGATCTTACATATAACAGACATATATATATATATATATATATATATATATATATATAATATATATATATATATATATATATATATATATATATATATATATATATATATATATATATATATGGAAAGCGCGATGACGTTTAAGAAATGAAAACAAACTTAAAATAAGAGATAAATTGGTGAGAGTTCTCTCATTAGCACATCAAGTTGATATGAATAAACGCTTAGGAGCTTGATGAACTATTCATGGCCCAGTTGTTTACGTTTAATTTATCAGGATGATTTATAGGCGTTATAAATTATCCATTTTTCTTTTCATTGGGGAACTTCCCTTTGTGTATGATTTTATAATCGAATTGCTGAACTGTTTAACGATACTTGTAAGGATTAGAGGGGAAAATGTAGCTTATATACATAAATATGTTATTTATAAGTGTGGTATCTTGAAAATGCATATCCTTTACAAGGTATTGACACATTTTACCTTTTATATCAGACAAATAAATAGTTTCATATTCCTTATGTTATTAATTAAAAATTTCATTTAGATTTGAATTTTTCCAAAATAATTCTAATATTATATTATTTTTTTTTTTTGTATATAAGAAATGTATGCGCCTGTCAACGTAATGCTGGCGATCAGCAAATGTGATGGCGATACATGAAATAATGACATGACAAGCATGGGGAAAGAAAGTACTCAGAAGTACCTCTTTCCTAACTTGTTCCAATTACTTAGATTGGTTAAGGAAGGAGATCTCTCATCCAACGGCTCTTCGGTCTCCTCCTCATGTTCTGAAGTATTTCAGCTGTGGCCATGTCTCTTATTAGTCTGTTATTATTTCCGTTTAAATTAGTGTAATATCGTTGAAAGGGGTCGTTATATGTTGCTCAACTGTTGGAAGGTGGAGGTCAGTATGTAGAGTTTTGTTAGTCACGTACCAAGGTGCTTTTGTTATGAATCGCAATAATTTTGATTGGAAATTTTAAAGTTTTTGTGGATGGGTCTTTTTCGCGAAACCGTATATTTGTGATGAGTACGTCCATAACGGTTTAAGTAAGTTGCATATAGTTTTTGTTCTAAAGCTCCAGTAATGTAGTCTGCAACTCTGTGCAATTGTCGTCGAATGGAATGTGCGAAAGCCGAATTGGTGATCAGTCAATATGTCGACAGGTCTTTGTATATTAAATTTTCAAAAACTTTAGAGCATATAGGAAGGAGGCTAATGGATCTGTAGGATGAAGGATTACTTATGTCTTTACCGGGTTTGTGGATCATCTTAATGAGTGAATATTTCCATTGTAAAGCTAATTTTGAAGTCCTTAGCATGCAGTTGTAAATTGTTGTCAGAAACACTAGAGCTTTCTTGGGCATTTATTGGATTGCTTCGGCTGTTATTAAGTCATATCCAGGAGCTTACCTTTTCGGTAATTGTTTGATTTGGTTCTAAGTATAAATACTACTTTTACTGCGTGTGCATCTGAGGTCAATCGTGTATCATTGTTCTTTAACACTTAATAATTCACTTATTCATATTTATTTATTCATATTTATCCGCCAATAACAACCATATTAGAGAAGAAGTGCGTGAC